CAAAATTTCTGGAATATTAGCAGATACACAATGAAAGAAATAGTTTACTTCCACTTGACCTCGAGCCATCACATACTTTTACTAGGAAACTATCATCTTGTTGAGTGTATACAAACTCAGCATACTCTGTGCAAATTCTTTATTGAAACAATGAACAATTTACAAGCTGGATCACATTTCATTTTGCCACTTCAGCATGAACTGGTCTCTTTGTGGTTTACGGCCATGAACTATAAAATCGTAAGTTATTTAAATCAAAATACAGTGCTTCTCAAAGTAACACATTCATATTTGTCTTACATTTCTTGTAAAATCAAAAAGGATTTCAAAATAAATGAAACAGAACTTAAGATACTTTAGTGCAAGCATTTCCTTTGCATCTAAGAAGCTTTCAGTTGTCCCATTAAGTATGGCATACTTAAAAGGCCAACTCTTTAAAATAGCATGCTGCCAAGATATCCCATGAGAACTTTTAAAATTCGACACTGTTCACACTTTCCAGGATTAGGTGATCTGAACTAAACTGAACGTCAGAAAGCCTTGGTTATACATTACAGTACTTTTGTTAAAAGGTAACTGCAAATTGAAGGACTGACATAGCATATACATTAGAATAAAATAGGCACTGATTTTTAAAAAAGCAACATCTGCCCGTATATACCATTCTGCAAACCTTATGATTATACAGTAAGTTTTAAGCACAGGAGTGAACTGCTGTGCCTTACCTAATACCAATACATCTGCATGAGAATGCTGATCTATGGGTTCTTTTAATTTTTTTAAATTACAATCTCAAAAAAATGACTGAAGGTTCGGTTTCGTCACAAGCATACTCAGAGAACAAAAAGGATCAGCAGTAAACAAATGGTGCTTAAAAAGAAAATTATGATTACGTAGATAGTGAGTAGCATGTTCAAGTAGTGTGATTAATGTGGTCTTACATTTAGTGAAAAAACAATAGTAAGTGTAAAATTCAAATCCAACACTGATCTCTTGTGCTGCAGAAATCTAGTCATCTTGCAGGAAGTTTTGGCAAAAATATTTTTAAATAGTGTAAATATATTCTGCAATTCTCTTTTCCTTTCTAAGCCTGGTGGTGTATTCTTTATGCTTTTATTATGCAAATTCAGTTGTCCTGGATTTTCCAGATTCTGAGTGTTTTAAGAACCATTAGTATTTGGTGATATAATAAACAGAAAAATGTAACAAAAAGTGTGTGTAGTCAAATGAGGGGAACAGATCACTCTGATGTCTCTGAAGTGCTTACGGTGCATGAAAATACAAGGCAATGCAAATGGTAATGTTTTCTTAGGGCCATCATTAGTTTTGTATTTATTAATTGTGTTCTTACACCAAAAAATAGGCATTCCCTAAGAAATACTGCAATACAGAAATCTTTATAGCAGCACAGTCAGAAAGTTTTGAACAGGAAAGATGGATTTGCATCTTGATTCCCATCTGTCTCCAACAAATGAAGTGTCTGAAAGCATGTAAAAAGCTTAGGCTTACAGGTGGTATATAGGGGATACATAAAGATACTGAGCAGCACACATGAAAACAGAAAAAACCCAGAACCCAGAACCATTACAATCTGTAGTTTCTTCAGATACAGTGCTGTTTGGCTTTTATTTCAATAATGCCACAAAGCAAAACGTCCGAAAAATTAATAGCTGACTGGCTGGACCAGTCTAGCCTGTAAACTCTCAGTTCTGAGTGAGTCCAGCTCCAGCAAAGTCAAGGTTCTCTTTGACCTTGCAACAGCAGGGATTCAACACTACACCTATTACATGCATTTAATCCAAATAAATGTTGCTCATAAGTGGTTTCCAATGTACGTTTGTGTGTGCTTCAGATATATGCTCTTTGTGGGCAACCTCTGGAAGAAAACATAATTTGTATCTTCAAGGAACTTTACACAGAGATACTGAAGAAAACCATGGAGACTGTTTGGGCTCAAATATTTCTCAATAAATAAATAATAAACAGACTGGAGGACAGCCTGAGGACAGCAGTCAGGATCAGAACTGCTTGGTACTAATCACTGTATGAAGGGGTCTGGTCTCGACTGTAAAAAGTTCATAATTTAAAAAAACCCATTACAATTAAAATACTGTGGTTTAATAAATAATTTTGAAACTTTTAAAAATTTTAAAAGTGTAATTGAAAAGTTATTTTTATGCTTTCAAGGAGAACATCTGTGCTAATCTGTGCAATCTTAGTTGGGCATCAGGCAGGTAACTTTAGAATGCACAAGCATTACTTGTAAATGCAGGACAGGCAGAAAAAAAATCAGTGCCTCTTATCAGGAAGTAAAGGTGAATAAAAGAATTTAGTGCAAGTTCCTACTTTTTGTTTCTGCCCTTGTTCTTTTCATACCAGGAGCAAATTGAATAACGCAAAAAACTGATGTGAACACTAAAGAGAAACATACGTTAGACTCAGACAAGAAGTTGTTTGTATCAGCAGTATTTTCAGCCACACTGGTCAGAAGTGAGGTTCTTTATGGTAGTCTCTTAATCTACCCTTTCCAGTCACATTCCTAATAGGACTTGGCCCTTGCATGTTTCCTTTTGGGCATGCGCAGATGCATTTTGTATAGATGCCTGCCACTGTGCTGAGCACAAACAGATGTTAGGTAATTAAATGCTGTCATTTTCAAAAGTCGGTGGCAAAATCTGAAGTTCGTTGTAGAACATACTGGGTTTTTTAATAACCATAGAAAGGTAAATAGGGAGCCCTCTCTGCATCACCTATGTAAGTCACGAAGTGTTCCTGTGTTACACTGTTAGTGAAGCTCTGCACTTTAACATGGAAAAGTTCTGTGAGAGACTGAAAGAGTTAATGTCTCAAACATTGCGGCAGGACAGGTCTTGCATAATAAAACCTGCAGGTTCTGCTCTGCAAAAATAAGAAAAGTGCAGGAAGCAGGGGACGGGGGCCTTTCCCAGGACTCAGATGGGCAGTTCTAACGTGGGGAGGGGGCTCACAACTACCCCCACCCCCCGCCAAGATGGCGCCTGCGCAGCAGCCTTGAGGGCCTGGACTGTAGAAAATGCACTGGCCCAGGGAGACGTGTGCGCGCCCACCACGAGCTCACCACTGGAGGATTGCCCTGCTGTCGTCATCATCGAGATCCAAGGGTGGTGATGTTTTTCCTTATCTTTTTCCTGTCACGCTTTTCTTTCAAAAGGCACCCACAAGAACCCACGCTACCAATCGCCTTTACGTTTTCCAAATTCAAATTGTTCACATTAAAATGTTTAATTGATCGTTTGGTGTCGACTCAATTTAGTTTGAGGGAATTTACAGAACTTTAGTTGCTCTCCTCCCGCTTCTGAGGTGGGATGGACAAGTTCACATAAAACCTCAGTACATTGTCAAGGGTTTTTTTAGATAGCTGCAACATTTACTTCGTTTGGTCTCAATTACCCGTGCAGTTAAGATACCTTATTGCTACCCATGGATACCTTATGTAAATGTGTCTACCTCAATAAAATGTCCAGTGAGCCATCGATGCATCATCTCCCCATAGGCCTAGGTGACTTCTTTGTCTGCAATATAGTTGATTTCAGATTTATTTCAATTATCTATACTTATGTTACAGTCCTCCTTTAAAACTGTAAGCTGATAGTTTGTTCATTAGTTCCAAATTAAATGTGTGTCAGGTAATGAAGTACTATACTATCAATTGTACACAAACTCCTCCTTTTAAGTGCTTGCTTTCCAGGCTCACTCTGGAGAAGGTCCTTTTTACTGTCTATCTGCAATAGAAATTATCACTCCCCTTCCACTCCTGGCATTTCCTGGCATAAATGTTGATCCTTTTTAATGTCATAATCACTGCGATCATTAAAGCTTTACTGGGGTAGAGTCACATGTACTCAAGTAGTGAACATCCTACATAAGTAGGAGGTTCTTAAAATACCAAAGCAGTTATAACAGAGTAAACGCTTGGTGTGATCGTCATTATTATTTCACAGGACACTTGACTGTAATTTATTTTTTTTTAGTTTGGATAATACACTCTCAAACTTATGCTTATAGATGATTTTAGGCTTGATCTTCAGAATATGAATCTGCAGAAAAATTGTAAAAGGGTTTTCTGCCATTTCAGCCTTGTCATCAGCAGATTACTATCATTTGCAGAACTGTTAAGGAACCTGTGTATCTGCTGGTAAGGGAGTGCATACTTACTCCCACCAAATTATTACAAAACAATTACATCTTGCATATTTGCAGGTGTTTTCCATATAAACTTCTGGCAGGGTAAAAATGGTCAAATATATGCAAAAAAAAAAAGGACAGATCTGTTGGATTGCAATTTTCTGTAAGATGTTTACGGGCTTTCCCAACTGTAAACTACAGCACAAAGTTGTTTCTCAGTGTGGAAAAAAACAATTGTTGGCATCTTCTTTCCATGAAAAAGGGAAAACTATTTCCCATGTGCCTAAGCAGTGTGGTCTCAAATGAAATGGAAACATTTTAACTTTCTTTAATAGCCCTCTAAATCATAATGCAGCTGAGCAAATAGGCTTTGTAAATGGGATCTATTAGGATTTTATTTGGCTACTGGAGTGCTGCCTCTTGGGCAATATTTCAAATTCACAAGATAATATTTGCAAAAATGCAATGGATGGAAATAATGAGACTGAAGGAGGAATTCGAAAACCAGTTTTATGTTTTGTAATTTCAAGTGTCCTACATCAAAGACTACCAGTGACTTCCAGGAGGCCACCACAGGTGACTTCAGCCTAGAAAATGCTGAGGTAAATGTTTCTTGGAAATACTCCTAATTGAAAAAAATCATATTAATGTAATAGCAATTACTCTGCCATACATCATAGTAAACTAAAGTCAAACTGAGAAAAAAGTGCCAAAATAATCCATATACGTGCTTTTGCAATGATAGTCTCCAGGTAAGGCTTAGCGGCAAGTACAATATGTATTTTTAAAAGAGCTCCACCTGATTTTCCTGCTATGCATAGATTCAGGAGTAATTATCATACATGGCTTTCATATATAACGCATGTATTTTTGTAATTTGCCAATGCTGTATCATCAGAACTGAGTTCAACAGAAGGCTCAGGAGGGGGCTCTGCAGGAAGTGCTGGTGTTTGAGGAGTATCGTCTTCCTTGGTGTCCAAATGCATGCTTTCTTGTGATTGACCGTCCATGCAGTCCTTTCTGGACAATGGGTGAACCGACACTTTTATTGCAATATGTTGAGGTGGCTCGTGCAGTGATGATGCGTCAGAGTCAGCTGTGGGAGAGTCACTGCGCTTTAAAGCATTTGGGATCATATACAGCTCATCTGTTTCGGTGGTTTCCTGGCCTTCTGCTGTCTGCCGTACAAAATTCTGTCCTTGCTCCTCCAGGCCAACAACCTCCATAATTTCTTCCATTATAGTCCTGCAGTTCATGATAAGAGGTGGCAAAGGTACGCTCCGAGCAAGCTCTTCAATGTAGCGGGCAAACTCCATGGTCTTGAACTGGGTTACTTTGGCAAGTTCGAGCGTTTTGGCTGAAGTGATAATTGGGATACGCTTTGCAATCTCAAAGGCTTTCTGGAGTTTCTCTGCCCCTTCTGTTCTGAAGAAATCATTGATTGCTTTCTCTGTTTTCTTCAGATGACTGCTCATCATACATAACCGAGTAATGTTCAGTATCATAACAATGGTAAAAGCTACAAGGCAGACAATCATGTAGTATATTCCCATATCTCCGGAGGTAAAAACAACCCTTAGTGTCACAGTATTGTTAACACTGCCATACATATTAGATGCGACACACGTGTATTTACCTCTGTCTTCAAAAGACACGCTGGTAACGTTTAGAAGCCCATTGTCAAGAAACCACCATTTTCCTGCTGGAAAGGAGACAGAGTAACTAGTTAGAAGTGATTTGCTCACATTAGCAGCATAGTCTTAAACATCAGTTTTGTCAAACTGGCTTCAGATTTTGGAAGAAGGAAATAATGTTCACAAGAAGAATGAAAATTTACCATCATAAAGGCCTGTCTGTCCCTGAGATTCTAGCTGTGTTACTAACATTAACTGTGAATAGTTGGATCATGCCCTAAGAGAGTTTCATTAAAAAAGTTAATAAGCATGACATCTATCACATTCCTATAGTTACAAGGACTACTTACCCCAAAGAACTTCTCAAACACATGACACACTTCCTCAAAGAACACTAACAATGGGACTGTGAGGCAGAAAAACCTGCTAAGCCCTTCTTGTTTTGTTCCCTGATAATGCATTTTCTTGCAATTTTGTTGGTTTTGGTGTTCTGTTACAGTATCTCATATAAATCTGATAATGTAAACTTTAAAAACCCTAAATATTCAGATATCATATACTACACTGCCTGCCCTCTGAGGTGTTCAGAATCTAATTTTAAAGTATGACTTTCAAAAAAGGGAAATAGGACAGGATGAGTAAGATGAAAGGGAACGAGAAGCAACATAACCAATTAAGAGAACATCTTGTTTACCAGTATGAACTCCTGTGCACTATGACGGAACTTCTTTTACTTTTAAAAGTAATTTCTATCAGTGTAATATAATGGATATCTGTGGTCACTGAATGTAATTGTACATGTACAATTCATATCCTTTTAACCTGGCACAACAGAACAATTCAGCTATTAAACTGAGTTTGAAATAACATGTTAAAATCCAGTGCTTGTATCACTGCTAAAGTGATTCGAGATTCAGCTTGTTACAGTGTTTGCCATTATGTATTGGTAGTGAATTAGATTTATAGTTCCCCAAGTGAGCTTTATTTTTATTCAAATATCACTACCATTTAAGAACTGAGGATATGTATTTTTTGCTTTATTCAGTGTGATATGACTTAATAAACTGCAACTTTGCTATAAAAAACATGATTCAACTCCAGTAGGAAAGCCTGGTGTCAATTCTTTCCTTCATGAAAACCCACCCCTGGAAGTGTTCATGTGGAGTGAACAGCCAGAAAGTGTTAAGCATGCCTCTGTGCCTCCTGAATATGTCCTACACGGAGATGTCATACAGAAGATTTCCTTTTAGAACAGTGACATAGGCTGACATAAGCCAACAAGATCATCTAATGCATACTGCTGCTCAGAGGCAGACTCAACTGTTTTCAGTCTCTGTAACACAATCCTAAGCCATACCTGACAGGTATGCTGAAGGCAGTAATGGAATTTCAGGTGTTCACCTATCTTTACTAACAAGTTGTTTTTCCCTAAACCTAACCAACTGCAATTTAAGTCTCTTACGGCAGCTGAGCAAAGACACAGAATCTGCGAGCAGAGGACTAAACCAGTAAAAAACCACTGTGCAATTCATGTAAATCATAAGGCAAGGATTGCACTTCTGCCACGGGTTGGTATATAACTTGCTTCTACATTTATTTTATTGTTTTCATGGAAGTTCTTTCATTGTTAAAAAGATTATTTTATTTTTTTACTTTATTTCTTTCAAGGAAGAGTCAGTGGGCAATTCTGAAACTCATTAGTCAAAAAAGCCTTTAATTCTGAGTAGTTATGGGCTTTTACAATTTTCAAAGTTTTTCTAATTAAACATGGCTTATCCCAACTGGATTTTTTACATTATCTCCAGTAGAAGCCTATGTAGAAGATATTCCTACAAGATCCTTGCCTCAGTTCCTCTACGGACAGTTCTTAATTACATCTTTTTATCCTCTTACTTAGAATTTTTAACTTATTTTTAACACTATTTTTGCCCTAGCTTAATTCTTGAAAACAGCTGAATCAGTTTGCCTGAAATTAAAAAATACAGAATAAATAAAAAGCTCAGTCTAAAGCAGACCTTCACATAAAAAAAAAAATCACTCCAATCTGCTGAAGTTAGGCAAATTGAGATGAAAACTCTCTTACAGAGGAATTGTCAGCATCTGTAACAGATGATACTTCTTTCTCCACCTCTAGTATAAGAAAAAATAGAGTACTGGCTGCTCAGTATTTGTTTGAATTGCAATGTTGGCAAAGTAGGTCTTTATTAATTGTCAAATAACAAGATGCCTTGCTGATGTATCCTGGCTCCAGCTGTTAAAAATGACATAATGGCATTGAACTGTGACTCAATGACTGTGTCTGTGCCAGTGGATCCTGGCAGATAGTACAAGCCCAATGAGAAAACAATGATTAGAAAAGGTATCATTGCTGGGTTGTGATAACAATTCAATGCCATGCTCAGCATAACTATATACATAGTAAAGAAAGGTCTTGTGCTAGGAAGACAGTTTTTTAAAAGAGCAAGTGCACCGTTGAAAGTCTAAGTTAAAGTGATGTTGTTCTAATACTACATCTGTTAATTTTTTCTGATTTGCTCAAAGCTTTTGCTTACCTACCTAAGTATTTGTGTTAGCAGCTACCTCTCTCAGTTGACTATACAAAGACCTATAGTTAGATGCCTAACTAAAAGGGAAAATTTCTGTTAGTGAGCCTTAGGAAAACACTCTAGCACACTAATCACAGCATGTTGCCATGACCACACAAATTATATCTGAAAGTCCACTTACTAGCTCAAGTAGTTCCTTTCTCTAGCTTTATTCAGAAACTGCTAAAATACTGTAATGTAAAATGTAACCAGTTATGCAGTATGCTTTTACAGATACACTATGCTGTTGCACATCCAGCTGGGTAAATCATTACTCACGTCATAGCAGAGTCCTCCCTCAGGACAGCTATTAGTTAGGCAAACTGTATTGCATTTAGTATGAATAACTAAGAGTTTATTTCACCATGCTCTGAACAAAGCAGTCAGTATGGAAGGATTACGTGTGCAAAACACCTTCCATTACCCACCCCCCCCGCCCAAAACTTATCCTAGATGTGTAATTAAGGTCTCTGGCCAATGCAACTGAAGAGTATTAACTAAAGCCAGGAAGGCTCAAACTTGGCTTGTCCTTCTGACTGCTGCCCTACATAGATTTTTCTGTTGGTCATTCAGGACATCTCCTGTTTCTCACACTCCCATGCCACTATGCATAAAGGCAGGAGGAGTACACAGCTAACATAGTTAACTGTGTTGAATTCATGGCAACAAACTATTCTCGCATGTCAAGAGAAACCTCCTTTGAGTTGGAAAATAGGTTTTTAGTCGTCTTTGGTGCCAGAAAAGAACAAAAGAGGACAGAATGGGAAATAGGATCAAACCCAAAGTCTTCCAATGAACACAAGCCTGTCTACACCTTCTGTTAAGTGTTTTACCTTCTTGCTAGGTGTTGCTATAATTAACACATTAAAAAATGTTACTGTTTTCTTCCAAGGTACACACAAGAAATTTATGTCTGCCACGGGGCTCTCTTATGTTTTCACACAGGAAAATATCACAGTCATTCTATCACAGGCCATTAAATTCAGGTTTTAATGAACCTGCTGAAATCAGAAGCATCTCTGGACAAGGCTACATCAGTGAGCTCTTACCTTTATTCTCCTCCTCTTGGAGCAGGTGGCCATTGGAATTGTACCATCTGTAACGTGGACTGGGACTACCTTGGACATTGCAGTCGATCAAGGCACTACTTCCCTCCTTGACTATTATATGGTCGATGCGGGAGATCACCACAGGCACAGATCCCATGTTCATGTCAGTGCGGTTGAAAGTGCTGTTAGTCACATCCTCAGCAGTCGTCAAAGCTGCTAATAAGATGACAAGGTGTGGGGTAGGCAGAAAGTACAAAAAGTGGTGGCTGTTCGGTATGTTCATTTTCCTTCAGTGCTATATGCAACTGGCTGGGAACTGGGATAGGTTCTGTTGAACGCAGGCCTTTGAGGTGAGGAGGTCACAGGAGAGTTCTGCTTCGATCTGTGCAATTTTATGTTTAGAATATCCTATAAAATATATAAATAAGTACAATGAGATGGCATATATAAACAATCCATTGGATGTGATCTTTAAAACAGTGACACATCCATTATCATCAGCTCAGCGTCTTATCTAAATGCTAATGTTATCACAGTCCTTATACTTACTGGAAAAAGATGAATACATTTTCCTTACAATGGTGGTGTTCAGAGTGGCAGGCGTGGGAGGCGGCTTTTATCACCTAGACATTTAGCAGCAATTTAGCTACAGCAGCAGCTACAGTTTTATGCCAAAAATCTACAGATTTTTCTATTTTTTTTAACATTTGCAAAACCAACAGGAAAAACAAAGGTACAGGACGTTGAAGCTGTCACTACCAGTTCAGTGCTGCAGCTCTGTCACGTGCATGGTCTTCAGTGAATTGTGGAACATGGTGTAAGAAAGAATTGCTCCAGGAAAGGTTTCTGGAGCTGATGTTGGAATCCTTAATATACACAATTTTGTCCAAATACAATATAGCACATGCAGTAAAACATCTCAGACCATTCACTTTTCTTAAGGTACTGCATTTAAGTTTTCTGAGATAAAAACATAGAATGGAGTAGTATCCTTCCTCCTTGAAAGAAGATATTTAGTACTTGATAAAGTCATTTAAATATAATTTTTAGAAAGAAAAAATACTTGCTAGTGACATAAGTATGAGTAAGGTTTCTTTGAGATACAAAGGAAGTTGAGACTTTTCCATTCCTTATGTGGAATTAAGCATTTTTGCCTGTATACTTTTTGCACACTTTTGCTATAGTATTTTCTCTCAACTAATCATCTACAATGAGCCCTTTCTTAAACAGTTTGTAGACAGAGGAGAGAGGGTTTACAAATGTGCTCTCTATTGGCCTTATTATGCCACTGAACACAACTGGCATTCAGTACTGACTGAGGGCACAATGTTGGCCTCAAAATGAGCACCTTTGGAAATTTCACTCAAAGTCTAAGGGCTACAAATGATGTTAAAATCACATCAGAGTATCTAACTAGCTTGGTTTTATTAATGTGTTTCTAAGGTAAATAACCGAAACTTAGTGAAATTTATTATTTAGAAGAGTCTATATGGAATCCAAATAAAACAAAGTTTCACCAAATGAACCTTTCACTCTCAAAACTGTTTACATTTTATTAAAGATCTGGTTGACACCATGGTAACTCATCTACCTTGACATGGAAAATGGCTGCTGACAAGGTTAGGGCAGTTCCATTTATAAAGAAAACACTAAAATAAAACCAACCAAACAATCCCTTTCCCTCTTTTGTTATTTATTCAAAAAGGAAAGAAAACAACATTATTGTCTTTCTCTGGCAATACTTGACTTAGGTTGTTTGAACTTTGTTTCATACAAATAGATACAATTGTTATTAAAAGAGCAAAATAGTTCCCTCCATTTTACAGGACAAATTATTACTAGAAATGACAAACTATATTTTTTCAGATAAGCTGTACACATTGTGTGGATGCCTGTCACAACTCCAAGCCTGCCTTCATTTTTTGTCTGTTTTTCTAACTATTGAATGTGGAAATACTTGCCTTGAAGAGCCAGAATAGTTTTAAACTTTAATATGCAAATCTCATTCGTCATATAAAGCTAGATAAACAATGACTTCAGAAATCCATTTCCAATTATGCAAAGTGCTTTTTTGTATAGGTACAGCCTGTCTGAATCTGCACTTTGGAAAAAATCCTTCAGTTCTGCCTATTCATTTCAGTAACTATTTACATTTCATTTCTACTACTCCATTAACTTTGGAGACAGCCATTCTTTATGATTACACATATTCACTTTATAAAATGTTTCTGTACAGTGTTGTAGATCTGCATTGCGCCATACAGAAAAGCCAAAAGACACGTCACGCTTCCTGGCAAAGGAGCAGGATCAAAGGCTGGCTGGATTAAGACAATGGGAAGGGCAAAAGAACACCATTAATTGATTAAGCTTTGTGTTGCTAATTACCGGCTGTGACTTGTTATTATTGTAGTTGAGCTTACCTTATTTTTTTGATGGCAGCAAAATCAGTAGCAATCAAAAAAAGTGTTTAGCTTGGAAAGCAATTTGCATTCCAGAAGGAAATGAAATAGCACCACCCCAATGGGTGAACAGAAAACTTGTATGGAAGGACCTGCAGTGTACTGAAAAGATCAAGTGGCCCACTGAATCCCTACAGCACAGGGATGCTGTGGATGGATGTTTGGAAAGTGTGTGATGGCAGTAACAATGTGTGGTGTGCCTGTTTTGTATGCTTACCTGTGTTTAACGTAGATCATATGAAAGCAAAAACTGTTACCTTTGTGTAGTGATAACAAATATGACTGGTTCTTAACATGGTCAAAGGGCCAATTATTTGTCTGAAAATAATAGTGACTCCCTCACTCTGGCACAGAATTCAATCATAAATAGCTGCAGTAAACCTCAAGAAATAGAGCCGAATAATTTACGTCTACTATAGGAAATTCATGCCTACTCATGTCACTCCTGGGAATGTACTTTCCCATGTATGTTCCTGGAATGAAGAATATTAAGAAAACACTTAATACCTCTGCAGATGCATTTCTGTTTGAAATAAATACAGTTTGATGGCTAGTATGAGGAATAACCGGTCAGCAGGTTTAAAGCAGAATGTTTGGAAACAGTGGCTGCTGCTTTCACGTGCCAGCCAGGGATGTGCTTTTAATGAACACTTGAGTATGTTTGAGAAGTTAGGGAGAGACCTCTCTGAAGAATGGTGTTCCAAGATGCAAGTTTAGACAAATGTTCCCAAGGCAACTAGGAAGTGATAGGGAATTTTTTCTTTGGTGTGCATCCTCTGCAGTGTTAGCGGGGAACAAAAAAATGGAAGAAACCAAAGAAAGTTTTCTTGCCTCACCTAACATAAGAAAGTTAAAGGGTGGCCATGTAGGGACCTGCATGTCCAGGACCCTCTGCTAACCTGTTGGGCAAGACCAAAAAAGCTGAAGTAAGGTTAGGAAAGCAGGAAGAAGCAAAAGGAGAGAACTGAAAGGGTAGAAAATGTGCTCACACCAGACTGTGGTGCAAGGGGAGATTTCCTGAGAGTTTCTGTCCTACTGCTTTGCTGTAGGCACAATAGCAGCATGAGGATATCGGGGAAAACAAACCTGAGAGCCAGCTGCTTTGTTAAACGTAAGTGATGCAATGGGTTATGATTCAATCACACAACTAAGGAGACCAGAATAGGACTGCTTAGTGATGTCTGCCCACTTCCAGCAAAGAAGCAAGTGAATTCAAAATATCAGAGAAGTGGGCACTATGCTCTCACCCTGGATCTTGGCCATGAGTGGCAGTAATTAGCTGTGGCCCATGATAAATGTGAAGGGAGCCAAAACTGTAACCTTTTAATCTTGAGAGGGCAGCTGCAGGGTGGTGGTGTTACTCCGAACTATGTGAAAGAGGCACAGAAACTGAGGTTAAAACTTCTCTGTCCAAAATCAAGCATCATTCTAAAGAGAAGACACTTCCAGCTCAGACTGGCTGGGAACATTAATCACTCAGAGACATGTTCTGATCGACCATTTATTTTTTCATGTCACAGATGACTTCACTTCCCAGTGTTACTGCCACCTAAGAAAATGACTGTGGGTGAGGGGCCACCTTTGTAAGTACTGCATTTGTGCAGAACAACATGATGGCAGAGCACAAAAGAACAGAAAAGAAGGGCAGTGATGCATACCTTTTCCTGGCTTCCTCACTTCTGTGAGACTGGCCTGTTCTTGTTCTTGGAATAATGTGTAATCCTATTAACTGTGAGATTATTCAATACAGAAGTGAAGCACAAGAAGCCAGCTTATTGTATAATCCATAAATTATGTTCCTATAGCTTTACTGTCCCAGTGCAATCTTACTTGGCTTGTAAGTGATTGTGAAAATTACATACTTTTCATTCTAATTCTCATTTGTCTATAAGTATCAAGGCTGATGCTACAGAAAAAAAATTAAAGCTAATTCTTTATTATTTAAAAACTACTTACTACTTTTCCTAGTTTCTGTGGGCAATGCCTTTTACAAAGTGGGCAAAAGTAGAAGTTAATAGGTTTTACTGCAACAGAAAAGCAAATGAAGGAACTTGCACCATACGGAAGGTGGCTGCCAGTTCATAAGCTTAAGAATGAAAACCATCTACTGAAAAGGTTAAGTTATTAGGGTCCAAAACAGACAGATGAAGAGAAATGTTGCTCATTTACAACTAGCAGAAACTTTCTGACTTACTTTTCTAGTCAATAAAATATTACGGCTTGGTTCCAAAAGAGCTGCTCTGTTCATTCTCTTTGGGAGGATGTCAGTCCTTCGTAACTTCATGGTTTCTCCTTCCCTGGCTGTGTTGAATAGGTGGCGCACCGGTGGTGTTTGTAAGATGAAGAGTTTCCATCTGCACATCCAGACTGGGGCTTCCCAACAGCAGCTCCCAACTATGTGCATGTTTCAGTCTCTTCAGCTTCTTTCAGCTGCCTTACATAAGAGGTAATTACAATTATAAATTATAAATTCTCTTTAACATGTAGAGAGGACTTCTTTCTAGCCTAGGCTAACTAATGAAACATCACCTATTTGGGCCATCTGCAATAGTGAACATTAGGTTTTCCCCCCATGCAAATAGTCAGACTCTGAAGTTCATGGGTTATTATCTACTGATAGATGTAGCTTCTTGATGCTAGAGAATTGACAGTTGTCATGAATCTAATCTTGAAATAGAATAAAGCAGTAATAAGTCAGACTCAAAGACAGGCTAAGATAACCTTTTCAGACTACTGACTTCAGAGGGTAGATGAGTAAAAATATACACAGTATTGAATGGTGTAAAGACAGTTGAGGCATATGTTTTTACTGCTTCTCATAATACTAAAATGAGACCAATTTAAGTGAAACTGAGGTGGAAGATGGGGCAGTGGGAGGAAAGAGATGGAAGTTTTTTGATTAACAATGACGAGATTGCAATTTCTTGACACAAGATAAAATAAGGGCTGGGAATTCAGGATGATTCAGGAGAGACTGTATATAATTTATCTGTGCAGGTTCATAGAATATGATGGTTTATGCAGAATGTGGGGACTTAACTGTCTCCTGTGTACACTTTGTCCTCTAAGTATATGGCCCTGGGCAGCAAACAAGAATGGTGAGTAGTATAGCAACTTGAAGTCCTTTCTTAGGACTCCTGCCAAATGAAATTATAATAAAGACACCTATAAATTGATTTTATGTTTTGTAGGCACTGATAAGCTGCCTACGTTCATCAGTTTGTTTTGTAAGGTGACAAGTCATAAATACCAAAAGAAAGAAAATGGAAAAATCAAGGTTAATAGCTTACTCTACCATTAATGGAAGAAACAGAGGAAAATTTCTGGAGTATTTTCTAAAGTTACATTGTTCTGAACGCATCCAATTCTGTAGGGTGTAAAAGAACAAAGTTAACAACTGTGAAGACTCAACCCTCCATTTTAGAGTTCCATAGTTTATCAAGGAACTCCATCAAGAAAGCACTCAGTAATAAGGTGATTCCACACTTCATATGTGTACTCAAAAACAAATGTTATATCCAGACTTTTGGTGTAGGGC